CTTATGTTTCATTGGCTATAATTGCATCTATGCCCATTCCTTAATAGTCACTGGCCAGAGTAGAATGACCTAATTACCCCTTAGCAAATAAAAATATACTTGTGTGAGTTTTTGGCCTGATATCAACAGAACAAAAAAAAATAGATTTCTGTAAGCTGGAGTGGAGGGATGATGTCAGGGAGTCAACCCATCAACCTACAGAGAATGCCACACCGTGCTCAGACTTGCTATGCACCTAAGAGGGCTCACATCTTTGAGAAAGAACAGAAAATGTTGCCACAGAGATCTTTACCAGTTTCTCTGCTTTCTGTGTCCATAGAAGCCTGGTTCGGCTTGGCCAACGTGACTGAGCTCTTGCCCCCTGAGCACACTGCCCAGGTAGGGAGGGAGGAAGGTGCTTCCTTCTCTTGGGCCCAAACATTCTAAGAGTGAAATCTTCACTTCCCCTCACTCTGCCCCACAGCCTTGAAGGTCACACATATGTCTCTAACCTTGCTTATCTTCCTGGCTTACCCACTCAACACATGAGGATTTTACTTCCCTTCTCTGGATCATTTAACAGGTGATATGAGGTTCGGCTTCTTTAAGAGCGATTGGTTGGGGCTTGGTGTGAATATTTTAACCATTTCAAGATTAAACTTCTCCTTCCACTTAATTCAGTTCAGAAAGGCAGCTTCATGCTTATTTTATTTCATGGGAAACTCAGTCTGGAATACAGAAGATTCCCTACAGCCTGCATGACCACTTTGGAGCTTCCCAGGAGGCAGTGTACTGTAGTGGTTAAAAGACCAGTTTCTGGACTCAGACCTGAATTCAATCCCAGTGCTGTCACTTGTGAGCTGTGTGACCTTGGCAAAATTGCTTCTGTCCTCTGATCCTTGGATTCCACAACTGGGGCCAATGATAGTCTCCACCTCGTAGCATTGCTGTGAGGATTAAATGAGTCACCGTGAAGTGCCTGGCATATGGAAATACCCTGTCAGGCCGTTTCTCCTCAGTGCTACTGAAGGCAGTCTTCTTAGTTGGCTCAGCTGAGAAAGGGGGCTGCAGCTTTTCTAAGGTAGATCTCACCTTCCCTCCTTCTCTTCTTCCTCTCCTTATTTTTTTTCTTCATCAAATATTTACTGACTTCTATTATGAATGAGACACTGTGTTTGGAGTTAGGAATTACAATACAGTGAAGAACAAGACAAATGTGGTCTCTGCCCTCCTGGGGCTTACAAGTTAAGAACTAGGGGGTAAGGGGTGCCAAAGGGAATGTAAGCACTATAAAAGGTAAACAGGGAGCTTGACTGTACCCAGGGTGGCTGAGTGATGGTTAGGGAAAGCCACTTAAGGGTGGTGATATTTAAGCTATTTCTAAAGGATTATACAAAGTATCAGAGAATTGGAACAGTGTTCTGGATAGAGGGAACAAGAACATGTGCAAAGTTCCAGAGGTGAGAGTGGGGCATGTTTAGACGAACTGAAAGAAATTCAGTATGGCTGTATGGGAGAGGTGCAAGACCCAGTCAGGCAGGAGTCTTTGTCCTGTGCAGGAGTTCAATTGTTTTCTGAAATGATGAGGAGCTATTTAAAGGTTTTAAGTAGGAGCACAATCAGGTAAGCATTCAACAGCTTTATCCTGATTGATTCATGGACTATGGATGGAGGCAGGGGAAGTGACAAGAGGAAGAAAGAAGTAAGGTAGCTGTTGCCGTGGTTCAGGTGAGAAATAATGGGTGTGTGACCTATGGGAGCAGCTGCGATGTCACCTGAATGCAGGTCAGTTATGGTCAGGGCAGTCAGCTAACTGGGGAGCTGGAACTGGAGACTACATAGCCGCTCCCATTGCATCCTGTCCCTGGCCTACAGTTTGCAGGCCCGCCTGAATTTTCAGGCCTGAGAAATCCTTGTAGGATTCCAGGACCATTCACTGGGCTAGGATCCCCCAGGTCTTCTTGTAGAGTGACAGGGTTCATGTGGCTTCACTTGCAAGGTTGAACTAGGGTGACATGGTGCCAGGTAGTAATTCTGGTGTGTGTTTACCTTTGTTTACCTGAGCTACGTTCAGTGAGTGAAGAGACAGCTCAGCCACCTTGAGCCTTACTTCCCTCATCTGGAAAATGGGAGTAAGTTCCTACCATTTAGGATTACCACAAGGACCAAGTGACGCAGTGCCTGTACAGTGCTGGCCCAGTGCTTGGTACCCAGCAGGGACCATTGTTCTTTCTGCTGGCACAATGGTGGCTGCTATAGCTGAGTTTGGGTGTGTCTTTGAATTGGGAGGGCTGGGATTAACACCTGCTTCCTTCAGTAACTGTATTGTAACAAACTGTTCTGGGAGCTTGTGATGGTCGAAGGATAGGCTGCACACCACAGCTCTTGTGGGAGGCAGACTGGCTTCGTAGGCAGAGCCCTCACCAGGGCTCAGGAGCCTGGGTTCTGGTGTCAGGTCCATTACGTGACTTAGAGGAAATTCATTCCTTGTCCGGTTTTAGTTCCCTCATCCGAATAACAGAACAGATAACAGCTGCCTGGCTTTTTCAAGTATCTGCTGTATTTTTCTCTCTCCCTCTTCTGATGGGGACTAAGATTACACTGAGGCAGAGGCGGGTGAGCTGGTAGCGGGCACCAGGCGGCAGGTTTGGAGGGAAAGAGCAGCGAGGCCCTGCAGCTCTGTCTTGCTCTCCCTGCCTGTCCCCCTCAAGGCTCAGAGGACTGGCAGCAGGTCACCCTGGGGTCCCTGCCACAGTGCTGTCTCTGCCACTCTGGACTGCAGCCTGGAGGAACTGGAGTGTCTTTCTGGGTGTCCACTGCAAAAGGAGGGGGAAAAAGAGGCCCCAACACCATCTCATGTTCGGGTTCTGAGTGTGTATAAAATGCAAATGCCCTGGCCTGGCCTCAGTCTTCAGAGCCCACTCTCACCCCCAGGCTACCTGCTCCCCCTCCCTGGGCGCCACACCAGTGTCCCACCCCATGGGCACCTCCGAGTGCCCTCCCCCCTCCCCCCTCTCCCCTCCTCCCTCCAGGCCTTTGCTCAGGTTCTTACTGCCTGGCTTGACCTTCCAGCTTCACCTCCTACAGTCAACTGCTTCCTTCAAGCCCACCTCAGATGCCACCCTCTATCAGAAGCTTCCCTTGAGTCACCCTGATAGTGGTCTTCTCCCCCTTTCTGCTCTGTGTCCACACACTGGGCAGTGACTATGGAGCATTACTACAGTCTTTGGTTCACCTGTTTTCACCTCCTGAGTGCAGAAATGGTGATGGGCTCATGCCCGTAATCCCCGGTGTGAGGGGTGGGTCCACACAGACGATGGCGCCAGGACCGCAGAGCATGGCTCTGGTTGGGCCATGGCATCCCCTATCTGGATGCACCACCATGGCCCTGGGGCCTCTGCCCAGGGTCGCTGCTCTGAGCTGGATGATAGAAACCACGCCGCCTGCCCCTCAGGACTGCACTTGTCACTCTACTGCCAAGTGCGTGGGGAATTTTGTCCGCTTTGTCTTGTTTTGCTTTTTGAAAGGGGCTCCAAAGCAGGGGAGCTGGGCATCAGGGTGCTATAACTCTGGTTTTATGCCTCATAGCCCTTCTCTTGCCTCTGGTTGGCTGGGAGGGGGCAGGTTAGAGAAACAGCCCCCCGGAAACATCCCTCCTCCCTGGTCCTCAGGCCCCTGTGGAGACAGACTCTCCCCCAGGGTGGATTGTCTCCCAGGACCCACAGACCTTCCTCAGGATTTGACTTCTGCAGGGTGCCAGACTCCCAGACATGCCTGCAAACACACTGTGTATGGCTATGTGCCAGGTGCTGACAATCTTTGAGTTCTTTTTCCAGAAGTTTCCTTAGCTGCTATGTAAATCAGTTGATCCAAAGGTGTGTGTGTGTGTAGGATCCCTGGATCACACACCAGGCTCTGCTCAGGATCTGCTGGGACATCCTGTCACTGTCAGTGAAGGAGCACACAGGTGCCTGCCCTGGCTTCTCAGGGATGCTGAGTACAGAGCTGGTGTGAGAGCTGGGGCTGAGGGATGCAGGGAATGTCACTGGTATTAACCAACACCTTTAGGGCAGGATCTGTTTACATTCTTTCTGGCATTTACTATCTGGGTAACCTTGGGCCAACTGCAGAACCACTCTGAGCCTTGGTTTCCTCTGGTGGAAAACAAATGAACAGAAAGTAGGGCACCTGCAGTATCTGTGCGGGGTGTGCTGTCACCCTGTTTACTTCCCAGGGTTCTAGGAAGAGAATGGGATTCTTTAGGGCAGAGCTTTCCTGGTGAAATGCAAGCCTGGCATGGAAAGGTCTGACTTTCGGACAAAACCAGGAATGTGGATCCAGGAAGACAGAGGATACCGTTGGGGGAAGAGGCCAAAGGAAGCTGGGGGAGGACAGCACCGAGTCATCTTAGATTGGTCTTCCAGCAGCTGAGTTCCAATAACACTGAGCCTCAAGCAGAGGGAGGCGGGAGCAGAAACAGAAGGCGCAGTTTCTCCAGGAGAGGGTGGGAGAGCAGGGAAGCCCCAGGCCGCCCCACGGTGCGTGGGTCCTCCTAGTGGCCTGTGTCTCTTAGGCTGCTGGAGGAGGCTCTTCCTGGCTCCCACCTCCAGGCCCCTCCCATTGGGTGGTCCTCAGCTAACCCTCTGTTCAGCAGGTAGAGGGAACTGGGGTGTTGGCCATGAGTGGGGGAAGCTGGGCAGATTATTTTGGGGAGCTTGATCTAACTCTGTTCATTGATCAAAACCAATTTTTCCTAATTTAGTCAGATGATTTTCTTAAGAACATTCGTGTTTCTACAAATGAGTATATTTGCATAATCTATTCCACTGTGACAGCCTCGCCTCCCCACACCTGCCCCCCCTGTATCCACCTCTCTCCGCCTCCAGGAAGCCACACAGCTTCCGGCCTAATTTGATCAAGATGAGTAAAAGCAGAACCATCTGGTTTCCTTCAACAGCTGATTCCATAATCGCTATTGTAAAAGACCTGTCTTCCAGGTGGGCCTGCGATGTGAGTGGGTGTCTGTCTTTGGCGAGATGAAAGGGCTCAGCCAGCTACAGAATGCCTCCACCAGCATCAGGCTTCCAGTGAATCACATCAAAAGCCTCCCTGCCAGGGCTAGCCCCTTCCAGCTGGGGGCAGATGGGCTCATTAGAAGCAGGAAGAGTACGTTGTTTACATTAGGTGGTGCTGATTTACAAGCGAGGAGCTGCCATTTTCTTCAGCACCGCTCAGGAGAGCCCTCCACTTGCCCAGAATGGCTCCTTTGAAGCTGCACAGCATACAGAAAAGGAGGTCTGTGACAGTCCCACTCCCTCCCTGCTCTCCTTCCTCCTCTAATGAGGCGGTTACCAATTGAGCAATATCTGGGGCTTGGATGGGGACTAGCAAGGGGACTGCGGGGAAAGGCCTTTGCATAATTGTGTTGATTAAGAGGTATAAGGCTGGAAACGTTGTCTTCCTTCAAGATCAAGTCCCTGGGCTTGTGGGAGCCTTGGTTTTCTGGGCCAGTTTGTTTGCGTTTGGCCTAATTGCTCAGGAAGAGCATTTTTCACAGAAGTTTCAGCCTAGATGATTTGGTGTAGTTCTGCATCCCAATCCCCAGACTCCCAGATGCACTTCCGGAAAAGGCCATTGGTCTGGGGGGCTGTGCTGGGAAGCCTTGTCCTTGAGTCGGTATCACAGAGTGGGACAATTTTGGTGTGCTGCTGGGGTGTGACTGGAGGGGCGAATTGGGTATTTTTCCTTAGGCCAGGACACACAAAATGATCCTCAGGCTCCTGGCTTCTAGGTTGTTCTCTAAAAGCCATGGCTCTTTGGGGCTCTGCAGAAAACTCAAGAGAGTAAGAACTCTAGCTCAAATCATATTTGTAGAGTTTTTTAATTTAATTTGTCTTATAGTAGCTGGTGCTTCTCAGATATCTGTATGTCCTCTCAAGTGTCCCATTCTCCCTTGCACTTGGGTTTGGGGCCTGTGACTAGTTCTGACCAACAGACTTTGAGCAGAAGTGACATGTGTCATTGCTGGGCTAAGGCAGTCAAAGCTGCTACGCCCCCTCCATCTTTCTTTCTGCCTCTGAGAACTTGGAGCCAAATATTCCAGACAGAGGTGGGCAGCCTGACCCACACCTGACTTTTTGTAAAAAATAAACCTTTACTGTGTTAGGTCTCTGAGAGTTCGTAGTTTTCTTTCTGCAACCTAGTATAGTCTGTCCTAACACTGAATGCTTCAGGCATAGGGAAATGGCCATCACATATCTGCCCTGAGAAGCATTCTGGACGTGGCTGATGTAAGAAATGGAAAGCCCTTCCCTGAACCTGCCATCGTGCCTTTCACCTTCACCTTGGACATGGCTGTCCTGGTTCAACTTTACCCATGGCTTCCTCCTGAGCAGTTGGGAGGGTCGGCCTGCTTGGATCATGTGCCCACCCCTCTGCCAATCACCAAGTCTAGTCGGTTTGGGGTATTTTAATTGGTCAGCCTGGGCTGAGGACGTAGGACCATATGATTGACAGTCTCAACTAGAGGAATGGGACAGTTTTTGAAAAGATTCTAAGCAGTTAGAAATGTCTATTTGCAAACGCTCTTCCTTGGACCACTGTGAGCCAGAGAGCTGGAATGGCTCAGATACTTTAAGAATTTACTGACAAGTTCCCAAGACAGCTCTCAGGTGGGTCCAAAGAAGGTATGTGTGTGTGTGCGGGTGAATGGACATGACCTAATTTACTCACCCTATCTGCTTGTGGCTAGAGATGTGGAAGGAATGTTCACTGAGAAAGTATTTCACTTGCTTTGATGATTGATTGGTTTGGAAGTGGGGGGCAGGAGCCCTGGAATTGAAAGCCTGGCTATGTGGCTATGGGTGCGGGGAATGGGGAAGGGTATGAGGCATTGTCCAGTGTCTTTGTGGAGGAAGATAGAGCTGTCCTGCCCAGCTGTACCACAGGAGAGGGACCTCATGACCTGTCACCTCTGCAGCAGGGCTGACCTCTCTTCAACCCGACTTTTGTTCACATCTCTTTGCACAAGGCCCACTGTGATCTCCAGAATGGTGGGAGCATTGACTCTGGGTCTCTGGACCTCTCATCTGCACTGCCCAGAGCTCTGGGTCATCCCAAAATCTCAGGAGGAGAAAATCTGATTGGCTCTCCTTGGGTCACATGTCCACCTGTGGCCAGTCAGCTAGGCATGTGGTGGTAGACACATGGCATTTCAGGCTGCCCCTTCTAGGGCTGTGTGTGGCCAGTTGTTAAAAAAGGGACTTAGGAGAGGAGCCAATTTTTGTCATCATTGTGTACATGGAAATACAGGTCTTTGGACTCCAAATCCTGGGCTCTGAAAAATGGAGTGAGAGAGAAAGGCAAGACCTGGGCTCTGAAAGATCTGGAGTGTGAGAGGCAAGCTTCTCAGTCCAGCCATGTCCTATGGCAATACAAGCAGCCGTGTTTCCTAGTTCATGGAAACCTTCAGGACCCTGCAAAGGGCCACCACTGAACCCTCGAAGCAGGAGCGTTTGTGAAGTGATGCCCTTGTCTCCCCAGGATATTTCTGAGCAGAAAGAGTTTAACTCTTCTTTCAATTTAGTGTGCTGATGGGCAGTGGTTACTCTGTCTAAAGTGTTACAGTAACCCTCCAGAGACCGGAGACTGCCTTCATGGGCTACATATACTGTGCTTACCCTGCAGGCGTTGGAGTGATTGATGTGGATGACAGAGGCCTGGGCTGCTGGGCCTAGAGGCCCACAGGCTTTGCCGTTGTTGTGTGACCTTGACAAGGTCAGTTCTTTCTCTGAGTGTTAGTGTTTTCAGTTTTCTCATCTGTACAGAGGTGGGTCTAATGCAAACATCTCTGGAGTGCTTGGTGTCTCTGATGATGGGAAGGCAGTATATGCAGTGGTCGAGAGACCCACGTTGATGGCAGATGCCCTGCATGGGGTTCCCTGGCTGTGTTGTGACTCCCCCATAGGCTGTGAGGTTCTGGAGGGCAGGGACAGGGCGGGCTCATCAAGCAGTATTCCCAGTGCCTGGGACTAGAGGCCCCATGCCTATTTGCTCCCTTGTCTCTTGTACCTGGTTCTGTCCTTGCTGGCTCTGGGAGCCTCTCTGTGGCCTAGTGTCTTAGCTTCTTGCCCTCAATTTGGACTCTGGAGATGGGTCTCATGCGGATAGGGGATTGGGCACTGGCCCTGCACCCCCAGATCTTTGTTTTTTTTGAAGGGAGGGTGGGGGAGACCCTTGAATTGTTCAGACAGCTGGCATTTCCCCTTGACTCCTTCCCTGGTGGCCTGGAGCAGAGGCCTGGGGCTTGACACACCTTTAGGCTGTTACCTATCTCCTCGGCTGGCACATACCCCCTATGCAACTGGAGAAAAAGCAGCGTTGGCCGGGTGAGGGAGAAACTGTGGTCCGACATTTTGCACCATGAGGGTCTCTGCCCGGCTCAGACAGGAGACACTAATGTTACTAAGTCAGTGTTTAAAGCGGACAATATTCTTGACATTTGGGCCGAGATGCCTGAGCATGAAAAGCTCTCCCCTCCTGTTGTGCATCTCCACACAGTGACTCCAAACAGCAACACGACTTGACTTACAAGCCTGGGGCAGTTTGCTCATAACTCTAATAACCATCTAGAATTAGATCACTTCACATTCACCTGATTTCTTCCCTCATTCGTCTTCTAGTCAGGTCATTAGGAACTCCCTGATTCTTCCCCAACCTCGGCCTTCTATTATTTATATATTAGACAGGTTTCTCAATAGAGTTCCTGGAAAATGGTGAAATAGCCACAGAAGATGGGCTTTCCCTGTGATAACAGCTTAGAAAACGGTCCATTTTAATCCATCAGGATTTTAAAACTTCCAACGAAAAATATTGCCAAAGGGCTTCTTCCTGGGGTCCCAGGGAGCTTGGGACAGGTCAGGGGAATGAGCCAGTGGCCACAGCGTGGCAGAGGTGGGGAGGCAAAACATTACCCACTCCCTTCTGTGACCTTAAGCAGGGCTCTTGGACGCCACCAAGTTGATATGGCCATATTGTGGCAAGAGATATTTTAATGTGCCCTTATAGCTGGTTTGACAGGTTGGAAACCACCATTTAAAGATGACATTTATCTTTATTGTTTGTTTTTCCTGGTGACAGAAGAAATACTTGTTCATTGGAAAAAATTCAAACCTTACAAAAATATATAATGTAGAAAGTGAACTTCCCTTATAATTCTACCACCTCTAGAGGTGACAGTACTATGGGTTACACTCTAGATCTTTTTCCAATGCATACACAAACCTAAGTAAGGATATATATTTGTATACGATTATTTTGCCATTAAAAAATATGTGCCACATACATTCTGGATCCACACTCCATTTCTGATTTCTTAATTTTCCAAAACCCTTGGGGCTGAGGGATGGAGTGGGATTAAGAATTAGGCAAGGAGGTCCATCACCCCCTGTACTGGTAATAAGAAAGATGAAATATTAATGGTTGATATTTTAGTCCATGACAAAATGTAATTTCATCCAGAAGCCAAGTCAGAAGTGCCTCATCTCCTGCTGGCCCCCATCTGCTGGGGGTGCCAACTTTATTCCATGTTTTTTCGCCTTATGGCCTCCTGTGGTTTCCAATCTTGAGGTCTACCAAATGTCACCTCTTTCAGAGCGGTCCCCAGGATTTCCCACTCCAGATCCCTCCCAGTCTGCTTCTGAAGTCAAAGTGGAAAAAGCAAGGCAACTCTGAAATTTAGCGCAGCTCTAAAATGTCACAAGTTCCAGCTTTTTCTTTGAGATTTTGTCCTTTGCTATGGTCTGTATGTTTGTGTACCCCACAAATTCCTATGTTGACATCCTAACCCCCAGTGTGATGGTATCAGGAGGTGAAGAGGTCATGAGAGCGGGTCCTCATGATGGGATTAGTGTCTTAAAAGAGAGGCTTGGGAGAGCTCTCTCACCCTTTCCACTGCCTGGAGATGAGAAGGTGCTGGCTCTGAACCAGAAAGAGGGCTCTTACTAGACCATGGCCATGCTGGTCCATGATCTTGGGCTTCTAGCCTCCAGAATGATGAGAAAATAAATTTCTGTTGTTTATAAACCACCCAGTCTGTGATCTTTTGTTATGGCAGCCTGAATGAACAAAGGCAGTCCTCTAAACAATGCAACAAACACCTTTGTTTCCAGTGAACTTCAGAGTCACATTTAAAAATAGTCTTCCTGATATGCAAGGTTAGATAAATGATATTTGGTCTTGGCTGCAAGGACCAGATGTTTCACCTCTAAGTTTTAGCCCACGCGTTGAGGTGTTAATTTAATGCATTCAATAAACAGGGGAGCTACTGTGCAGAGTATTTTTTCCAGAAGCAAAAACATACTAACCACAAAAAATAAGACAAATGACGTACAGATCAGTAAGTTTATGAGGTACAGTGTCTAATGATGGTGATGGCTGATCCTCTTCCAATAACTCATTGCTCCAATGAGAGACATACCCTGTCAATTTTCTATGGCCTCAAACCACAAACGGGGAGTTCTGAATAGCAGAAAGAGCTTATCTCCACCTCTGCCATGTCTGAGCCTCAGTTTCCTCATTGGTGAGATGGGGAATACCTTCTGCTCTGCCACCTTTTCAGCTTTCTTCTGGAAGTCAAATGAAGTAATTAAGGTCAAGGAGGTTTACAGCAGATATTTGTCTTTTGGGATTGCCTACTACCCAAATATTACTCTCCCTATTTGGAGCGCAGCTGGGAGGAAAAGCTCCATCAACCATGAGAAAGGGCAGGGGGTCAGGTACCTACATGCATGGGTGTGGGGTCCATGCTCAGCCAGTCAGATGCTCTTGCCCAGGCAGTGACTCTGGAGTGAGTGGTGCCCAGAAGCAGGGAACAGATCAGAATTCATCCTGGTGGCTATGGGGCCAGCAGGTGGAGGTGGCAGCGCCAAGAGTGGCTCTGGTATGTTCTACCCAGACTGCTGGCTTCCTGTCTTGATCCTGTTTTCTGCACTGGTGCTGTGAGCTGCCCGGCGGGCTTCCTTGGCTGCTTGAGTGACCTGAAATTGGCTTCAGTCATCTTCAGTAAGGAGCCCTGGCCTGTAGAGCCCTCTGTGAGAGGTGCACCTGTGAGGGGCCTCTTTGTGTGGGATGTGGCACAGAGGGGGGTGGTGAAAAATGCAAATACCTGCGCCCTGCCCCTAAGATTCAGATGCAGCCAGTCATGGGGGATTTGTTTTGGGTGGTTCTTCAAGCTGGAAGTCACAGTCTTGGCCCTGCCTCATCGTCTGTCCAGGGCACAAAGGCAACATTTTTTTTTAGAAAATGTGCACACACACATCCATTAGCTCCCTCAATTGCTCGTCCCAGAATCCCTCCCAGCTAGTTAACCTGATATATGGAAACAGCTTTATGCACAGGGATAGTCACTGCAGCACTGTGTGTAACTTAACAATACAGAAATAGGCCCAATTGCCCCAAACGACGCTCACGGTTGCCTAAGTCACGGCTCCGCTACCTGAAAAAATATAATGCAACTGGAAAGGGCTGTTTGGGCAGAGGTTTTCAGTACCATGAGGACGTGTTTATAAGTTAAACCTGCGTCACCAAAAAGCTATAAGAAAATCTACCTAAATATTTGTAATGCAGTGAAGTTTTTTCACAAAACGCAGCTTTCTCGTCTTTTCCGTCTTCCTCTGCATGATGCTCATCCGTCAAAGTGGTTTGCCTATTTACAGAATTCCCATCAAAGTAATTACGGAGAAATGTTGACTGAGAGGACAGTGGCCATGCTAAGGCCTGCTCTGAGGCCTGAAATAGTCAGGGGCTAATAACTTCCGCCTGGGTTTTCGGCTTCCTGTCGGAGTAGCTGTGACTATTGATGGGCAGGTAAAGGCATAGTCTGAAGCGCGGGTGACGAGGCCAGGCTTGCCCTGAGCACAGAGAATGTCAGGCTGTATGACATGGTCTGGTTACTTTATGATTTCCCTATATGACTTTTTTTGGAGATGAAACAAATATTTGAAATAAACTGTGTTTTCCAGCTTGAAATAATATAGATCAAGATACTAATAAAGAGATTCTTAGGTAAAATGTAATATCTTCATGAACAATGATGTATTTGCAGTCTTAACTCCTTTTTTAACAGTTGCCATGAATAGGTAGAAAACATGCATGTGTTAGTTCATCCACTCATGCACCACTATCATATGTTTACTGAGAACAGAGCAGGGAACACCTTTCACTCACTTGCACCATTTCCTAAGGGCAGAAGCTTCTGGTATTTGTTTGGGCTCAGCCTAGCTCTTGAGGCTTTTGGATTCTGGCCTTTGTGCAGGTAGTCTAGCATTTTTTGGTCCGTTGAGAGGTTTTATCCTGTTTTCCTGGTGCTGAGCTGAGAGGGTCAGTTTAGCTTGATTAGGTGACCCTCCCAGAAACCCTGGGCAGAGACCACCTCATCTGCCCTCAACCTTTGCACGAGGAACATTCTGTCAGCCACCCCCTCTCCTTCAGGTCTGAATATTAGGTAGTTTCTAAAGGATAGGAAGCCTGTTCTATTCCATTTCCGTTTTTTCCAGGTCAGCCTGTTAAGCAGAGATGTTATAAAAAAAGAAGGAAATGCTGCTATTTGCTACAACACGGATGGACCTTGAGGGTATTACGCTAAGTGAAATAAGTCAAAGACAAATACTACACGATCTCACTTCATGTGGAATGTAACAAAACAAAACAAAACCCCAAGAACTCATGGAAAAAGAGATCCAATTTGTGTTTACTAGAAGCGGAGCATGGGGAATGGGAGAATTAGAGAAAAGATGGTCAAAGGTACAGACATCTAGTTATATGATAAGTCAGTGCTGGGGGTGTCATTTACAACCAGATGACTATAGTCAATACTGCTGTGTGATATATTTGAAAGTTGTTAAGAGAGTGGATCCTAAGGGTCTTCATCACAAGGAAAACAATGTTCCTTCTTTTTCTTCATTGTTCTGTATCTGTATGAGATGTTGGGGGCTCACTGAACTTATTGTGGGGACAATTTCATAGTAGGTGTACATTAAGTCATTATGCGGTACTCAGACTTACACAGTGCTGCATGTAAATGATATCTCAATAAAACTGGAAAAAATTTAAGTTAAACAATTAAAAAAAACCCCAGGGATATTACCCTGAGCCCAGGCCTGTGCTAGGGATTGAGGTGGATGTAAAAGGTGAGGAGCTCCAAGCATATTTGGAGGCAAGATACACACAGCAGCACACAGGATTCTGGGCAAGCTTCCAACCCCGCCCCAGATGCTCTCTCCACTTTTGGTTAGTGGCCATCCTTCCATCATTCTTTAGTTTGTTTTTTCAACACTGGGTGTTGGGCAGGCACTTTGCAAGCCCTAGTAGGCCAGGAATGAGGAAGACAGAGTCAGAAGCTCACGGTCCTGCAGGGGAAATTAGATGTGTGTGTGAATAACTGAGTAATCAAATGGAGACAATCGTGTTCTCTAAATTTCTGCTGATTCTACTTCTTTGCAGGCTCTTAAAATCTTTTCCTCCGCATTCCCACTGCCATTTCTTTTCTCTTTTTGATGATGAAATAATCTTCCTAACTCACCTTCCCGCCTCTGATCCAGTCCCTACATTCCCAGCAGATGGATGATGGATTTGTCTAAGATCTAGACGTCCTAGCTCCAAATCCTCTCATCTTGACACAGGCCATCCATGAATTGGCCTCGACTCCCCTTCCTGGCCACATTTCTTGCCACAATCTGCCTTGGAGTCTCTGCGGTATTTGTACTATGTGCTTCCATGCCTTTGCACCTGTCATTCCCTCTTCCAGGAACTCTTCCCGTTTGTTTGCCTAAAAGACTATTTTTGTCCTTTAAGACTCAACTGTGTACCAGATCATCTGGAAAAACTTCCCTGGCCTCCTCCACTTTACTTATTAATTAATTCATTCTCTAACTCTTTAGTGAGGATCCATTATGTGCCAGGAATGGTGCCAAGAATACAAAAATGAATAAAACCAACATGGTACTTAACCTCATTGAGCTTCAAGCCAAGTGGTGGAGACAAGATACTCATTAAACAAGTTTACAAGTAAATGTAGGATTATAAGTTATGATAAGCAGTATGAAAGAGATGAATGTAGACTGCTCTCAGAGAGGACAGCCAGGGCTCATCTCCCAGAATGCTGTACCACTGCAGGGTGCCAGCCCCTACCTGGCACCAGCCTCTCACCTTCCTAAGGAGGTCTGAGCAGAGGTGAAATGGGAACCATTTGGCTTGGCTCTAGCTTCGTGTGTTAGGCCAGTTCAGTTGTTTCCGGGTGTGACAACATAGTCCTTCAGTGGGTACCTTTTGAGGGATTCTGCCCAGCTCACAGTTATCTTTCTGAACTGTCCTCATCCTGGGCTGCAAACCTCTGTGGCTATGTCTGTACCATGTGACCCACTCTCCTTCCCCATGGTTGTGTATCAGAATGGAAACCCGACCCAAATTTATCAAGTCAGATTCTTTCTCAGAATTCTTTCACCTCAAACCCAGAGATTCTAGTATAGGCTGGAATGCTCTCTAGAATAGAACAGATGGGAACTTGGGAGCCAGGGGTACCTATTTCCCCTGCTTTGTGAACTGAGAAGCAGATGTGCTGAGAAGATGAGAAATGAGACACAGAATAACGTCTTTCTTGAGGGCTGGTGCTGTTTGTGCCCCGGCGTTCTGGGAAACAATCCTGCATCCTTTTAATGAATTCCCTTTTGCTGGCTAAGCTTAGCTTCTGTTGGTTTCTATTTCTTGCAGCTTAAGAATTCTAGCCATCCAGATCTCAAACAGCGAATCCTCAATGCAGGCAAGTTGAAGAGAAATCAGTCGCCTCAGCAAAGACATGGAGAGAGCTGTTCGGTGCGCATCAATCAGTGGAGTCAGGTGGGCAAGACTGGCAGCTTCCTGGCAGACCTTGAAATATTGCATGGGTAGTTTCGGCCTCTTGGGCACATCAAGTCTACTCCAAAATGAAATTGTCCAGATAATGTTAACAAAGCCATTAGGAACTGGTCTGTCCAGTTTCTAAAGGCTGGTTGGCACCTGTGTATACATCTCCTGTGTTTACCTAGGTGAGACTTTCAGTCTTTTGGGAGCAGTCGTTAACTCTGCAAAGTATGTGGTCTTGATCTTGTTCCTGCAGGCATCCTGATGTTCTGCAGATGCACTGTTTACCAGGTCAAATTTAATTGTTTTCTGTTTCTTTCCTTGTTAAAAAGCAACCCCCCTACCTCTGCCACCCATCTGCCGCCATCATCCACCAACCTATCACAAAGAGAATGTTTTTTTTAAATGTTTTTTCTGACTGGATTTTTAACAGACCTTTATGATTAAAATGAGCAGCCTTTGACTTCTGGGATTTACTCTCCTCTTGGGTTAATTTTAGCTAATCGGTGGCAAAATAAAGTCTTCTAAAAATCACAGATCTTTTCACAGTCTTGGAAAAATAAATGGAAAAAAGAGGCCGTATTTAAGTGGCCTTGCTATTTCTCTCACTTGGTTTGTACGGCCTTTAGCTTTTCCATTTTCATCCATACAAACCGTAACACAAAGGTCACAAAAATCCCTTGACTTATTTAAATGTGGTAATAGCATCATTGATGCAAGCATGGGGTTAACCCAAATGTTTCATAGTTTGGAGATTTTCAACTAATAAGAGGAAGCAAGCACTGTATTTGGGGAAAGATTAGGGTCACTGGCCCTCATTTGAGTTGATTGGTCTCCTGAAATAAGATGCTAATTGTGAAATTGATAGGCGTATTTCCATTTGATTTTACCCCCAATAGTTTATGTTTATAATTAAAATAATAAAAATGGAAAATGTCCAGTTCAATCAGCATAATCTCCCATCTATTCTCAAGCAACATAACTGAAGTGAGATGCATCTGTGCGTGTAAGTTGCAAATTCCTTTTTTCTTTGCCTCTGCTGGCTGGAGGGAAGGGGAGGAATAAATTGCTTATAGTCTAGATGCATTGATGTCTCCTCAGAAACTAGAGAAGACCAACCACAATGTTAGAATAAAAAGAAAACCCAAAAAATGATTCAGGCCACTTTTACATAAATAACAGAAGATTCTAGCTGTTTGCAATTAAGGTTATTACTTGATTCACTCATGCAAGCAACATACTCACCTGGGCACCTACTCTGTGCCAGGCACTGTGGTAGGCACTAGGGATCCAGAAGTATGAAAGCTGGGTCCCAGGTCTCATGAAGCCTATATTCTGGTAGGGAAGGGTTATAGCCAGAGGAGTGGCATCATCTGATGTTTCTGATGGCTGATCGCCTTGGCTGCCTTGTGGAAAATGCACTTGGAGGGAGCACAGTAGAAACAAGAAGACTAGTTAGGAGACTCTTGTAGTGGCCCAGGCAAGAGATAACAGTGGTTTAGACCTGGTGGTGACAGTGGTGAAGCAAGAAATGATGGATTTAGCATATGTTTTGGAAGTTGAGTGGGAAGGACATGCTGATAGGTAAGACATGGCAGATGAAGAAAAGAGAGGAATAGTTAATTTTTTTCTTCAGCCGAATTTATGGAAGCACCATGCTGTAGGTGGGAAGACTGGGGGAGGGATCAGGAATTCTATTTTGGGGATCTTGGCTGAGAGATGCATCCAAGGTCATTGAAAGGTTGCTAGTGTACCTCGTTTCTGGAGGGGCTGTGGAACTCAGTCCTTGGCAAGGCCTTACCCCAATGATGAGGGAAGCAGTCATCCTAGCTGTGGGGAGCACTAGAAAATGACTTGCATGACAATGTAAAATAGGAAAAAAATCTTGACTCTCTGGTACATTGGGCAGCAGCTAAAAAAGGAACTTAATAAAGATGAATGAAAGTTTCTAAACCCAAAGACAGAGGTGGGGAAGTGGGGAGGGAGACAGGGCTACTTTAAGTTATAAAAAGAAGGGTTTAGGAAAGAGTAAACTCCCCAGGACCCAAATGTGAAGAGCACGGCAAAATGCACATATGTCCTTGGGCTGCCTCCATGGTGGAAAGAGTCCTGACTTGGGAATCAGGCAGATCTGGGTTCTAATCCAGATGCCATCACTTACAAGCTCTGTGTCTTTGCGCCAGTTATTGAACCTCTCTGCACACATACTATGAAAAATTTTGTCTCCCTGAAACAATGGAGTCATTAAGTAAAAACTAATTTGTTTCTGCATCTTGTTCTGGGCAAAGCTATATGAGGCTGCAGCTTGAAATGTTAGGTCAACTTGATAGAGTGTGTCCACATGAATTGAAATAACCGTAGCCAAAAGCAAAGACAGCTTTTAGGCATAGGTCTTAGCTTGCATGATGGGTTATTCAAGCTGTGATTTTTAAAATCTTGAGACAAGCTTTTGGACCTTCGAGGCTGTCTTCTGGTAGGGGGACCAGCAGGCCATTTCCCAAGAGTGTCCCAGTTGGTAAACTTGGGGATGTCCAGTAACCTTGACCACTTCTGTGATTAAGGGGAAATCAAAGGAAATGAAAGTGTGCTCCTAAGAATTAAAAGACTACAGCAGAGTCAACTAGCAAAAATAAGCATGTGGACAACATCAAACTAAAAAGCTTCTGCACACCAAAAGATCCCATCAACAAAACGAAAAGGCAACCTACAGAATAGGAGAAAGTATTTGCAAATCATGTATCTGATAGGGGTTATTATAAAAAAATAAAGAGCTCACATAACTTAAAAGAATCAAGAAAACAAAAAAGTGGGCAGAGGAACAGAATAGACATTTTTCCAAAGAAGACATACAGATGGCCAACAAGTACATGAGAAAGTGCTCAGCATCAACTACTCATCGGGGAAATGCTCATCAAAGCCACTATGAGATATCATCTTACACATGTTAGAATGGCTGTCACCAAAAAGACAAGAGATAGCAAGTGTTGGTGAGGATGTGGAGAAAAGGGGACACTTGTGTACTATGGGCAGGAATGTAAATTGGTACAGCCGCAATGGAAACCAGAATGGAGATTCCTTGAAATATTAAAAATAGAAAAATAGAACTATCATATTATCCAGCAACCCCACTTCTGGGTACAAAGCCAAAGGAAATGAAAACAAGATATTGAAGAGATATCTTCCCACCCATGTTCATTGCAGCATTATTCACAATAGACAAGCTATGGAAAACACCATAAATGTCCATCGACAGATGAATATATACAGAAGATGTGTTATGTGTGTGTGTGTGTGTGCATGCATATACACACACAATGGAATATCATTCAGCCACGAGAAAGAAGGAAATCCTGCCATTTGCAAAAACATGGATGGACCTTAAGGGCATTAGGCTATGCAAAATAAAAGAGAAAGACAAATATTGCATAGACTTTCTTACACAGAATCTAAAAAAATTAAAGTCAACTCACAGAAACAGCGAGTAGAAAAGTGGTTGCTATGGGTTAGCGGTGTGGGGGAGATAGGGAGAGGTTGGTAAAAGGGTACAAACTTTTAGCTATACAATGAAAAAGGTCTGAGGGTCTAATGTAAAACATGGTGACTACGGTTGATAAAAGTGATTGTAGAACTGAAATTTCCTAAGAGAGCAGAACTTTAATATTCTCACTAAAAAAAACAAAAAAAGATAAATATGGAGCTGATGGATATGTTGACTAAATGGGAGGAATCCTTTCACAGTGCATCTGTATATCAAGTCACCACAATGTACACTTTAAATAGCTTACAATTTTATATGTCAGTTGTATCTCGATAAAGCTGAAATAAAAAAAGAAAGACCCTCACATTTCCAGAAGAGGTATACAGTGCTTTCCATGTCTTCCATGCCTACATTCTAGGAATGCATTTAGCAAAGACTATTGATCATTCCTCCATCTCCATCAATTTCTCCATCCCATTAGGAATGGGAAGAAACTTTCTATTGTGGGAAATCTCTTAGGTTTCTGCCTGTGTGATGTTACAGCATCTCAGCTTAATCCCAAATATAGTTTTTTGGTTCACATGATGCCAAATTACTCTTGATACCTTTTGACCACTGGATTTTATGACTTGATGGTTTGTGTATGGACACAGGAGTCAGACATGTTTCCCTAAAAGGATATTAGAGACCAGTCTTCTCAAACTTTACTGTGCACGTGAACCGCCTGGGCATCTTGTTAAAAGGCAGATTCTGAGGCAGCAGGTCTAGGTGGGGTCTGAGGTTTTGCATTTCTAACTAACTCCCAGGTGATCTTGCTGGTCTGGAGATCACACTCATACTTGAGTAGAACCCAAGACTGTTTGTGGAACACAGTTGCTTGAGAAAAAAAAAAGAGGGAGGGGGCTTATGGTCAAATGGGTTTGGGGAAAACTGTATACTCTAGTGCCTTTTGTAAATTTAAAGTACATCTTATTCACATCTTAAAGTCCCTGAGAAGTCCTGTGGTTAAAAAGAAACTGCTTATTTTATTCAGTGTCAAACTCATTCAATCACGAAAGCTTTTTTCAAGGACAACCACTAACATTCAGTAGAGTTAGTGTTCTTTGTATCAAATTTTGAAATATAATTTGAGGCACAGACTGCCCTGCAATCCTGTTGAATATAAACAGTAAGTAGACAGTCACCCAGGAAAATGCCACAGTGTGTGATAATTCAGAACGTGGGCTGTGTCAAAGCCTGAGGTTGGACCTTGGCTCTTATAGCTGTGTGACTGTGGGTCAGTTGATTCCTCTGAGCCTCAACTTCCCTAAGGGATGAAGTGGGGGATAATAACAGATCCTATAAATGGAAACCAAGGTTATGGTTGCCTGGTTGGCAAAACATGATGTTGAGCATCTTGGCTATAGTGAGAAGCACTCAAGCCAGAGGAAGCCTGGGAGAGCCAGGAGGCAGGGATGGTTGAGCTTCAGGGGCCCCTGGAGACTGTCTGATGCGGAACTTCACTTACCACTTACAGATG